GCAATGATTCATTCTGTTGTCCACAGGGTCACTATGAGCCAGAACCAACTCGATGGTACCTAACCCTGACGACGCTATGTATTCAAGAAATAGGAACAAGACGCAATAAAAAGGAATATTCCGAAAACAGACCACAGATTTTGTGGGAGCATAAATTAAAAGTTCTCTAGGTAGGATTTGTGTTTCTGCCTCAGATTCTGTTTAAAAATTTTTAAGTCACAAAAAAACATCACTCCCACCCTCATTATAAGAAGTTATACACACACACAAAAAAAAGTCCTAGGGCTTTTCTTTCTTTTCAAGCACATCACATAATTCAGCTTCTTGAATTATGTCCTCAGCATACAGATTGAATACAACCCTGGTGCACACCTTTCCCTTGTTCTGTTAGAAACAGTGCCTCTTGGTGTATGTACAGGTTCCTCATGAACACACTCAGTGTTCCAAAATACTCATCGTCCACAATGTTGTCCACAGCTTGTCATGATGCATACATCATGTGTAGTCAATAAAACACAGGTAAACATCTTTCTGGTATTCTCTGCTTTCAGCCAAGATCCATCTAACCTCAGCAGTCATAACCCTCGTTCCATATCCTCTTTTGAATCTGGATTGAACCTCTGGCAGTACTCTGTCAATGTATTGGTGCACTTGTTTTTGGATTACCTTTAGCAAAATTTTATTTGCATGTGATATTAATGATATTGTTCGATGATTTCCGCATCCACTGGGTTACCTCTCTTTGGAATGGGCATAGATCTCTTCCAGTCAGTTGGCCAGCTATCTGCCTTCCAAATTTCTTGGCACAGATGAGTGAGTGCCTCCAGTGTTGTAAAGAAGCTACTATTTTGTGTCAGGAGAAAACAGAACTTCGAACATTTTGAAGTTCAGTTGTGAGATAGCATGGTTTAGAATCTGTAAGAACCTCAGACACTAAGTAAGTTTTCAAGCCCCCACCAGCTCTTATCCATAAGCCTTTATCAAAAAAGTGATGCTCTAGGATTGCTGAACATGGTATGCAGGGCAAGATGGGAAATGTCCACTAACACTCCAGACTTAACATTCAGTACAAGGTCAGCAGTTCAAATCCACCAGCAGCTCTTGAAAAACCTACACAGGGTTACTACAAGTTAGAACTGACTTAACAGCACTTATCATAGGTTGTTAATAAGTCTTCTCCAATGCCACGCGCTTCTTCATCTAATCCAGCTTCTGGCATGATTTGCTCATCATACAGATAGAATAAGTATGGTGAAAGATACAGCCCGGACACATACCTTCCCTGATTTAAAATCACTCAGTGTCCCCTTGTTCTCTTCTAACAACTGCCTCTTGGTCTAAGTGCAGGTTCCACATAAACACATTCTTCCCACTGTTAACCATAGTTTGTTAGGGTCCCCACAGTCAAATGTCTTTGCACAATCAACAAAGCACAAATTGAGCCTCTTTCTTCTGGTATTTTCTACTTTCAGCCAAGATCCATCTGACATCAGCAATATTATACCCAGTTCTACATCCTCTTTTGAAACCAGCTTGAATTTTTGGCAGCTACCTGCTACAACTATTTTTGAATTATTATCTTTAGCAATTATTATCTTTAGCAAAATTTTACTTGCATGTGGTATTGGTGCCATTGATTGATAATTTCCACATTCCATCAAAGTTCTTTGATGAAATAGAATTTTTTTAAGGTAGTATGTTTGCTATTTTTTTATATTGTTGTTGCTAAGTGTCATCAAGTTGGTTCTGACTCATGGGGACCCTATACAGGGTTTCCAAGAAGCAGCTAGTGGGTTTGAACTGTCAACATTGTGGTTAGCAGTCCAGTGCTTATCCTACAGAGCCACAGCAGGACTCTACCTTATATAGAGAGAGATTGTAATTTGTATATATATATTATCTCTAGAGAAACAAGCAACCAAAAAATACAAAAGTAAAATGTCAATAAAAAGATGAAATTTTTTTTTAAAAATTCAGTTTATCCGCTAAAAATGGCAGAAAAAGAGGAAAATCAGGTGGGCAAAATAAAATGTCAAGCACCAAGATGGCCAACATGGTAGACTTAAACCCCAAAGTATCAATAAGATTGCATTAAATATTATTGTTAAGTGCCATCGAGTCAGTTCCGACTCATAGTGACCCTGTATAGGGTTTCTGAGAAGGGGCTGGTGACTTTGAGCCACCGACCTTAAGGTTCAAACCAACCTTGAAGTCACTTGCTTATTCTAGAGTGCCACATCAGGACTAAAACTCTATTCATCATTATTGCTGCATAAAAAAATCACCCCCCAAATGCAGTGGTTTAAACAATCATCATTTTTTTCTTGTTCATGGCATCTGTGAGTTAGAAAGGCAGGAAGAGCTCAAGCACCCATTATGACTCAGAGACTTTTGTGTGGTTGCCATCAGATAGTGGCTGGAGCAAGTTAGGGTGCTCTGGGACCTCCCCCACATTATGTTGTCTCAGGATCTCCCCATGCCTTTCTAGTTGGGGCAAGCTGGGGCCTCCTCATAGGAAAATTGTTGTCGTTAAGTGCCATTGAGTCAGTTCTGACTCACAGCACGACCCTGTATCGCAACCCTCAGAAACGCTATACAGGGTCGCTACGAATCAAAACCAACTGGACAGCACTTAACAACAACAATAGGGTTTCTGAGGATAGGCTGGTGAGTTTGAAGTGGCAACCTTGTGGTCTAGTGCTTCTCCTACAGTGTCACACCAGGACGCCATCATAGTAGGAAAGTTTGACTGGTTCCAGTGGAGTCCAACTGAACCGAAGTTGCACTGCCTTTTCCATCCTAGCCTTAAAAATCACGCAGCATCACTTCAGCCAGAGTATGTTGGCTACAGGCAAGTCACAAGCTCCAAAGGATGAAAGTGAATCTCAACTCCACCTCTTGATGGGGAAGTGGCAAAGTTCCAGAGAAGCATGTGGGATGAAAGACATTTTGTGACTACCTTTGAAAAACACAATCTGCCACACATCCCAGTTAAAAGGCAGAGACTGTCAGACTGGATAAAATAGCTATATGATATTTACAAAAAACACACTTTAAGCGTAAAAGTCATAGAGCGGTTAAAAGTGAAAGGATGGGAAAAGATAGACTATGAAAACATTGAGCATAAGAAAGTTGGTGTGGCTACATTTTTATCAGATAAAGTAGAATTCAAGACAACGAGTTTTGCCAGCGATGAAGAGAGGAATTCCATATGGATGGGGGGGGGGGAATTTTGCCATCTGAGCCCATGTGTGTCTCAGAGTAGAACTGTGCACCATAGGGTTTTTTTTCAATGACTGATTTTTTGGAAGTAGATTCTTCCAAGGTGCCTCTGGGTGGAGTTGAACCTCCAACTGCTTAGTTAGCACCCAAGTGCATTAACCGTTTGCACCACCCAAAGACTTCATAATGACAAAAACTCAAATAATCTGGAAAACATAATAACATTAAATATGTAAGCACCTAATCAGGAAGCTCCAAATACATGAAACAAATATCAATACCAATAAAGGAAAAATAGGCAAATTTATAAACATTAATGGGTAATTTAAAATTCCCTTGCAGTGACTGATAAAACAGGCAGAAAAAAACACAGTAATATAGAAAATTTGAACATGATCAACCAAATTGGCCTACTTGTTATTTATAGAATAATACACCCAACAACAACAACAATATACACAAACTTCTCAAGGGCAGATGGAACACTCACCTAGGCACACAATAATCTGGGCAACTGAGCAAGTCTCAATAAATTAAAAAGGATAGAAATCTGACCAAAATGATATTGAATTAGAAATCAGTAACAAGAAGTTATCTAGAAAGCTTCCAAATATTTACAGAAAAAAATATATATTTGAGAGAGTTTCAAAATGTTCATGGAAAAATGGAATTAAAACATAATGGAAATTTTCCATGAACTTTTTGAAGCCCTTTCATACTCATAAGTTGCTCAAGGATCAAAGAAGAAATCACAAGTGAAATTAGAAAATATCCTTAACTGCATGAAAATAACCCAATTGGGAAATTCAACTCAAGAAGTAAAATAGATACAATTAAATATTTATATTAGAAAAGGAGAAAAGTCAGAAACTACTAAAAAGAGAAGAGCAAATTAAACCCAAAAAAGGCAGAAGGGAGGGAATCGAAAGAAGCAGGAACTGATGAAATAGAAAACAGTAAAACAATAGAGCAAATATATGAAATCAAAGGCTGGTTCTTTGAAAAGATCAATAAAAGATCAGATAACATGGAGAAAATACATTTAGCAGTACCAAGAATGAACAGATGCTAGAAACATTAAAAGGATAATAAGGGAATATTGTCAGCAACCTGTCAATACAGTAGACAAATTGGATAGAATGAACAAGTACCTTAAAAACAAAAAGGTTTCTAGAATGTTTCCAGATCTTTAGAAATAAAACATATACTTTTAAATAGCTCATTCAAGAAGAAAACCTGAATAGCCCTATATTCAATTTGTAGTTAAAATATTCCCACAAAGAAAACTCCAAACCTATATGGCTTCACTGATGAGTTTGAAATCATGCCAATTTTACACAAACTCTTCCAGAAATTAGGAGAGGCAAGAACACTTCCCAACTAATTTTACAAGATTAGCGTTAGCCTAATACCAAAACCAGACAAAGACATTATAAAAAAAGTAGACTATGAACTAGTATACCTTATGAATAGAGATGCAAAAATGCAAAACAAAATTTTCATAAATCTAATCCAGCACTATATATATATATATATTAAAAGACAATCTATTAGGACTAAACTGGAGTCCAGGTATGCGCTGCAGGATAAGGCACTGGCTCAAGAAGTCAGTTTGAACCTCAAGGTCAGCGGTTCAAACTGCTCCTAGGAAACCCTGTACAACGTTGCTATGAGTCAAACTCACTCTGAAGCACTTAACAACAACAACAAAGTGGGGTTCCTCCCAGGAATGCAAGGTTACTTAACATTTGATTCGTGTAATTAATTTTATTTCTTTATTTTTTACAAAGCAGACCATCTTTATTCACAATTGGGGCAGCAGAGGAGAGATACTCCCAGGTCAGTCCAAAAGCAAAGATACTGGGTGGGGAAGATGGCACAGGGGTGGGGACTCAGCATTCATCCTCACCCAGAAGAGTATAAGGGTTTCGGGCAGCCAGTCTGGACCCTGGGGCTGAGGTAGGGGTGTCCTCATCCCTTTCCCCTTCCTCATCTGCATCCCTGTCTGCCTCTGCTTCTTCCTCACAAGAGCTGCTCAGCTCTTCCTCTTCCTCCTCCTCCTCTTCCTCATCACCTGCTGGACCCACCCTGCCCTGCAAAACCACCAGCTCCATGGTCTCTGGATGGGATTCCCAGTTATCTTTCTGCTCACTGTAGCCTGGGGGATGAAAGCACAGGCTGAGACAGCCATCCACCGCTAGTCGCAGGAGACTGTTGGCTGCTCTGTACACATCATTCCGAGCTGCCTTGGCTGTCTTATAACTTCGTTTCTGTGCCCAGGCTTCACAGACGTCCCAGGCACACCACGCATGTTCTGCTGAGGGGTCCTCAGCCTCTGGGTGGCACAGACGGAGTAGGGATTGCACAGGGATTTGGGATGCCAGATATCCCACAGCCGTGTATGGCTCCTGGATTTGGGCAATGGGGTAGATCTCTGCCAGAACCTGCAATTGCCTGGGCAGCAGAGAGGGGAAGATGAGGCCTGGGCAGTCACAGAGCTTCACAGAGGGAGTGAGGAAGTAGGTCTGAAAGTATCGGGTGTCACCCGGTTTTCTGGAGACACTCACAACCTTCCCCCCCACCAGCCCGTTGATCAGCAAGGACTTTCCCACGTTGGGGAAACCCACACAGCCGATGGTCACCACCCCATTCTTGTAGCACTCCCGGGTTGGGCCAGTTGGCTCCACTGCTGAATCAGTTTGTTGCTCCACCAGGACAGCAGGCCCATCATCCTCTTCCTCTTCCTCCCCGGAGCCATTACCCCAGGTGGCACCAGCCACATCCCGAACAATCTTCTGCCGCCAGCTGTTCAAGTCGGCTTTCCCTGCAGTGATGGCTTCACAGGCTCTCAGCAACTGCTCTGGTCCTACGGCCCGAGTCCACCCTCTCCCTCGCTTCTGACTCTTCTTCAAGACACTACCAGAGTCCTGTAGGGAGCGGGGATCCCGAGGGAAAGAGGTGAAGAGGACGATGTGGATCTGGGGGTAGTGTTGGTGGAAATAATGCTTCCAGGCAAGCACAAGAGCTGGTGGTGCCAATGTTATTCTTGGGGGATTTTTCTTAACTTTTTGTTGTGGATTGAGTGAAGGTCTATCGACAAGATCATCAGCTTTACATTCAACAAACCATACACCTTGTTTCACCGCAGTGATTGCAATCCCCTCCAGGCAACCACAGTTATCAACTCTTCCTCCCTGTGGATCCTATTTCCATCCCACCCACCTTCCTATTCCTTCTCAACTTTATCCCTAGAAAAATGCTACACTTTTGATTTTGATGAGCATATCTTGCTGTGTTGTTGTCTTCCTCTGTATACCTATCTACTGCTCTACTGAAAAATGAGCAACAAGGGTGAGTTCCTTTCCAGACCTTTCCAGATCTTTCCAGACCTGAAGGGTGGTCAATAGCCATAGTGTCAGGTTCCTCCAATCTCTTTCTGACAAGTAAACCCAGTCTTTTTATTATTATTAAGGAGCTCTGGTAGCGTAGTGGTTACGAATCGGGCTGTGAACCTTAAGGCCAG